GCTGCCAGATGACGGCCGAACTATCGGGAAGCGAAGCCTAACTGTGTCACTTGTTTGGAGACTTTGGCCCGGCGGCTGCCAGATGACAGCCGAACTATCGGGAAGCGAAGCCTAACTGTGTCACTTGTTTAAAGACTTTGGCCCGGCGGCTGCCAGATGACAGCCGAACTATCGGGAAGCGAAGCCTAACTGTGTCACTTGTTTGGCGACTTTGGCCCGGCGGCTGCCAGATGACAGCCGAACTATCGGGAAGCGAAGCCTAACTGTGTCACTTGTTTGGCGACTTTGGCCCGGCGGCTGCCAGATGACAGCCGAACTATCGGGAAGCGAAGCCTAACTGTGTCACTTGTTTGGCGACTTTGGCCCGGCGGCTGCCAGATGACAGCCGAACTATCGGGAAGCGAAGCCTAACTGTGTCACTTGTTTGGCGACTTTGGCCCGGCGGCTGCCAGATGACAGCCGAACTATCGGGAAGCGAAGCCTAACTGTGTCACTTGTTTGGCGACTTTGGCCCGGCGGCTGCCAGATGACAGCCGAACTATCGGGAAGCGAAGCCTAACTGTGTCACTTGTTTGGCGACTTTGGCCCGGCGGCTGCCAGATGACAGCCGAACTATCGGGAAGCGAAGCCTAACTGTGTCACTTGTTTGGCGACTTTGGCCCGGCGGCTGCCGGATGACAGCCGAACTATCGGGAAGCGAAGCCTAACTGTGTCACTTGTTTGGCGACTTTGGCCCGGCGGCTGCCAGATGACAGCCGAACTATCGGGAAGCGAAGCCTAACTGTGTCACTTGTTTGGCGACTTTGGCCCGGCGGCTGCCAGATGACAGCCGAACTATCGGGAAGCGAAGCCTAACTGTGTCACTTGTTTGGCGACTTTGGCCCGGCGGCTGCCAGATGACAGCCGAACTATCGGGAAGCGAAGCCTAACTGTGTCACTTGTTTGGCGACTTTGGCCCGGAGGCCGCCAGATGACAGCCGAACTATCGGGAAGCGAAGCCGAACTGTGTCACTTGTTTGGCGACTTTGGCCCGGCGGCTGCCAGATGACAGCCGAACTATCGGGAAGCGAAGCCTAACTGTGTCACTTGTTTGGCGACTTTGGCCCGGCGGCTGCCAGATGACAGCCGAACTATCGGGAAGCGAAGCCTAACTGTGTCACTTGTTTGGCGACTTTGGCCCGGCGGCTGCCAGATGACAGCCGAACTATCGGGAAGCGAAGCCTAACTGTGTCACTTGTTTGGCGACTTTGGCCCGGCGGCTGCCAGATGACAGCCGAACTATCGGGAAGCGAAGCCTAACTGTGTCACTTGTTTGGCGACTTTGGCCCGGCGGCTGCCAGATGACAGTCGAACTATCGGGAAGCGAAGCCTAACTGTGTCACTTGTTTGGCGACTTTGGCCCGGCGGCTGCGAGATGACAGCCGAACTATCGGGAAGCGAAGCCTGTGTCACTTGTTTGGCGACTTTGGCCCGGCGGCTGCCAGATGACAGCCGAACTATCGGGAAGCGAAGCCTAACTGTGTCACTTGTTTGGCGACTTTGGCCCGGCGGCTGCCAGATGACAGCCGAACTATCGGGAAGCGAAGCCTAACTGTGTCACTTGTTTGGCGACTTTGGCCCGGCGGCTGCCAGATGACAGCCGAACTATCGGGAAGCGAAGCCTAACTGTGTCACTTGTTTGGCGACTTTGGCCCGGCGGCTGCCAGATGACAGCCGAACTATCGGGAAGCGAAGCCTAACTGTGTCACTTGTTTGGCGACTTTGGCCCGGCGGCTGCCAGATGACAGCCGAACTATCGGGAAGCGAAGCCTAACTGTGTCACTTGTTTGGCGACTTTGGCCCGGCGGCTGCCAGATGACAGCCGAACTATCGGGAAGCGAAGCCTAACTGTGTCACTTGTTTGGCGACTTTGGCCCGGCGGCTGCCAGATGACAGCCGAACTATCGGGAAGCGAAGCCTAACTGTGTCACTTGTTTGGCGACTTTGGCCCGGCGGCTGCCAGATGACAGCCGAACTATCGGGAAGCGAAGCCTAACTGTGTCACTTGTTTGGCGACTTTGGCCCGGCGGCTGCCGGATGACAGCCGAACTATCGGGAAGCGAAGCCTAACTGTGTCACTTGTTTGGCGACTTTGGCCCGGCGGCTGCCAGATGACAGCCGAACTATCGGGAAGCGAAGCCTAACTGTGTCACTTGTTTGGCGACTTTGGCCCGGCGGCTGCCAGATGACAGCCGAACTATCGGGAAGCGAAGCCTAACTGTGTCACTTGTTTGGCGACTTTGGCTCGCCGGCTGCCAGATGACAGCCGAACTATCGGGAAGCGAAGCCTAACTGTGTCACTTGTTTGGCGGCTTTGGCCCGGCGGCTGCCAGATGACAGCCGAACTATCGGGAAGCGAAGCCTAACTGTGTCTCTTGTTTGGCGACTTTGGCCCGGCGGCTGCCAGATGACAGCCGAACTATCGGGAAGCGAAGCCTAACTGTGTCACTTGTTTGGCGACTTTGGCCCGGCGGCTGCCAGATGAGAGCCGAACTATCGGGAAGCGAAGCCTAACTGTGTCACTTGTTTGGGGACTTTGGCCCGGCGGCTGCCAGATGACAGCCGAACTATCGGGAAGCGAAGCCTAACTGTGTCACTTGTTTGGCGACTTTGGCTCGGCGGCTGCCAGATGACAGCCGAACTATCTGGAAGCAAAGTCTAACTGTGTCACTTGTTTGGCGACTTTGGCCCGGCGGCTGCCAGATGACAGCCGAACTATCGGGAAGCGAAGCCTAACTGTGTCACTTGTTTGGCGACTTTGGCTCGGCGGCTGCCAGATGACAGCCGAACTATCTGGAAGCAAAGTCTAACTGTGTCACTTGTTTGGCGACTTTGGCCCGGCGGCTGCCAGATGACAGCCGAACTATCGAGAAGCGAAGCCTAACTGTGTCACTTGTTTGGCGACTTTGGCCCGGCGGCTGCCAGATGACAGCCGAACTATCGGGAAGCGAAGCCTAACTGTGTCACTTGTTTGGCGACTTTGGCCCGGCGGCTGCCAGATGACAGCCGAACTATCGTTAAGCGAAGCCTAACTGTGTCACTTGTTTGGCGACTTTGGCCCGCACTCTAAAAAAAAGGGGTGTAGTACTTACACCCAGTGGGGTGTATGTGACTTGTCCCATATACGACACCCCCATGGGTATATATGCGACACCCCAAAAAGGGGTGCATACATGCACCTCATTTTGAGGTGCACATGTGCACCTCAGCGGGTGCATAAGACACACCCCACCCGGGGTGTACATATATTCCGTTTCTCACTTACTGGGAATACTGATACACCCCATTTTTAGGTGTACATATATTCCGTTTCTCACTTGCTGGGAATACTGATACACCCCCTTCTTAGGTGTACGTATATTCCGTTTCTCACTTACTGGGAATACTGATACACCCCTCCTTTAGGTGCACATATATTCCGTTTATCACTTACTGGGAATACTCATACACCCCATTCTTAGGTGTACATATATTCCATTTCTCACTTACTGGGAATACTGATACACCCCATTCTTAGGTGCACAGATATTCCGTTTCTCACTTATTGGGAATGCAGTTACACCTAATTCTTAGGTGTACTTATATACCGTTTTCCACACCCTTCTAACCGATAAACCCCACTCTTAGGTGTACATGTGCGAAGTCAACAAAACTAACACTAGAACATTTTCCATCAAATTTACAGGAAATGTCTTTGCAGCTCTTTTCCAAGCTTTTAACCGTCAAAGGACGGTGTTTTGTGTCATTTTCATGTCCCATTTGTCAACCCGAAAACAGTTAAGCTGCCAATCCCCCATTCTATCGTCATTTCATTATATGGACTGGCATCATTTTGACGTCCTAACTGTCAACCTGAAATAAAATTGAGAGCTTTTGTGTCACTCCTGCGAATATAACATTGTCAGGATCATGCAATATTTTATAAAATAAGCTACAAAAATTGGTATCTGTTCCTACATATTTATTGCTCATAAACACTGGGTGAAACATATACTACAAAAATACACATTGAATGCAAGCACCAGAAACGTCACTTGTTTCTTTTCTTCTTCTTTTTGCATGTCTTATCTTTTAGTCCTTGCCTTGGGTGTTGACCACCAAAAAGAGCCATGAAGCATTCCTGAAAAGCAAAACCCAGTTGTATACCACGATTAGGTACATATAGGACACTTCAAGGCCCCACACCTTACTTAATTAGCATTACCAAAAACCAGGAACTCAGCCAACTTCATAAATATTTTGCACACCATTGAGGAATAGTGGGGTGGAAAGTTTACCACTTTAGATACAGGTGCAAGGCTGGAAAACCGAAAACACAGATAAAAAGCATGTGTTTTCAATATACTTAAACAACTGATTTTGGCGGTTTTCAACAATGCCAGCCTGTTTCTTATTGCAACTGTGTTTATGTTTTACTAATAAAATGCACAATTAGCCGAAAAATGCCATAAGCAACCTTGTACTCAGTGGCGCCTAACCAGATAAACGAATGCCAACATCAGAGGTGTCCTAATGCAAGCTTCCTTTAACAAAATTTTGGACCATCTAAAGCAGTGCTCTCAAACACATTTGAGTGTAGAGGCCAGATAGCCCACCCCAAAAGATCGAGGGCTTCTGTAGGGCATGGGGGTTAAGAAATTTGTTAAAGGGACCTTGCGCTCTCCACATTTTGTAACTTGCAATCCCTTGGGCGCCGCCGGCCAGTCTTTAACCTGCCCTGTGGCGGCTGTTTTAGGGGGGTGGCAGAGGGGGGGGGTGACAACACATGCCTTGCGCCCCCCTGCCCCCCCCCCCCCCCCCCGGTTGGAATGCCCATGTGAATGGTATCTATGCTTTGCTCCTTGTTTGTGCCATTTTATATGCTGTCCTTCTTACTTCAAACTCTTTATTTATCATTAATGCCGCTAAAGAAAACATGTCGCCCCCGTTGAATCAAATAGTTACAAAATGGCAAAGACTGCGTACCATGCTTGACGAAAGGCGTCTGCCAAAATTAAACCTGTTTTGCCGTGAGGGCAGCCTGTCCATCAGAGATTTGAGTCATCAGTACATGTAATCTAACCAACTACCAAGCCTAATCACACAATATAAGCCTAGCAGTCTGACAAGTAAAGAAGAAAAGAAAACAGGGTCCACCGGATAATCAATTGCTCACCTTGCCAGACGGTGCCTCGGGACTATGGCGGCATCTGCTAGGTGCAGAGCTTCTGGTCTGTGCATCAGAGAATAGGCATTAGCAAACGTGATCTATGCAAGCACCAAGCCTAGTTTCACAAGATACGCTAACAACCTGAGAAAAAGAAAAGCAGTCTGCAGCATAGTTGATTGCTTACCTTGCCAGACAGAGCCTCGGGACTATGGTAGCGTCTGTGCTACAAGCAGAGCCTCTCGCCTGTGCATTAGATTACTCATTAGTATACGAGATATAGACAAGCACCTAGCCTAGTCACACAATTTTACTTAGCAGCCTGACAAGTAAAGAAGAAAAAAAAAAGAAAATAGGGTCCGCAGGGTAGTGAATTGCTTACCTTGCCAGAACGTGCCTCGGGACAATGATGGCATCACTGCTAGGTGCAAATAGTCATTAGTAAACGTGACCTAGCTAGACACCAAGCCCAATTTGACAAGACATGCATTACAAACTAAAAAAAACAGTGCAGGATAGTTGGTTGCTTACCTACCCAGAGAGGGCATCGGGACTATGGTAGCGACTGTGCTACAAGCAGATCCTCTCGCCTGTGCAGTAGAGATGAAAGTCATTAGTACACGTGATCTAAGCAAGCACTTAGCCTAATTTTACAATATATGCTTAATCTGACAAGAAAACAAAAATCAGCAAGCTAGTTGATCGCTTACCTTGCCAGACGGTGCCTCGAGACTATGGCGACATCTGTGCTAGCAGCAGAGCTTCACTCCTGTGCGTTAGAGATTCGAGTCATTAGTACACGTGATCTAACCAAGCATCTTATGTTATCTCACACTTCACAGGTGCGTGAGGTGACTTGCATACTACAAGCACAAAGAGACACTCGCGTTTTTGAACCATTAACACTGCGACACCTAATTGTTGCTGTAGTGTGATAAAGTGTATGCTTCACAAATGAAAAATGCAATAAAACGTGTAGTCTAATTTTACAAATTTTGCCCAAGAAAGAGTCTGACAAGTAGGGTACCAACATTACAATTCAAAGTTAGCCAAACTCGAGCTTCGCAAAAGTTAGCATCCGCGGGTACAGCCACTGCACATGTTTCCGAATAGAGCTCTCAAAGTAACGCCAAACTGAGCACCATACACACACCGAAGCTGGTGAATGCTGCCCTAGAGTTCCTGCATAGGCTCTCTACGGGAGTCAGAGTTGCGCGTCTGTTATCCACACGCTGACACGCCGCTATTCGCCTAGATCCGATCATGTGAGGAGCAAAATCCAAATACTGTGCAGGAAAGCCGCCGATACGGCCGTTTCGCCGACGTTGCAATCTCCTCAGCGTACGTTCCCCTGCTTTTGTCTCTTCCTCCTTTCCTGTTTTTCAGGAAAGGAGAAAGAGCACGTTGCTATTCGCCCAATCCAGTGAGATGAGGAGCAGAATTTCGTCCCCTGCAGGAAAGCCGGTCCTCCGGGGTGAACGCGCAGCTCTGGCTCAGGGTTGGCAGGTTGGGCTATAAAGAGCCCAATTGGGCTACTCAGTTTTGTAATAGGCAGGAAAATCTGGTGGTTGGCTATTAAGCTATTTTATACCCGATATTCAACAATTTTCAAAGCCTTAAACATGATATTTCTGCGCCGGGTAGAGAAAAACAAGCAACTCAAGAGGTTAGGAAAGGAAACTATCCAAATCACAAGCGTGCAAATACAATATGTGGACCCTCATTGGTGTTGGTTGCGGAGGTGCAATATCGTTTTTCTGAAGTTTTTTGGCATGATTTAATACCGCAGGCAGGGGTGGAGGCACGTGTTTCCAGAAGGAGGGAGGAAGAGGAGTGGGGGCAGCTTAACAGATGAATTGAGAACCCCCTTCTTTCGCTGCAGTAAAATATACATGGGGGCGCTTTATCCTCTTATTGCTTTCTTCTGTAAATAATTGGCTTATGTCATGTATCATGTTTCCCGTGTTCCAAAGAGATGTAAATACCTTGTATGAAATTTTATGTGTTGGGCTATTTTTGTAGCCCGACATTTGGCTATTCTTGGGCACAATATCAGGAAATTTTGACGGGTTAATCTGCAAATACCTGGCAACCCTGCTCTGGCTACCGTAGGGGGCCTACGCAGGAACTCCATGCTGCCCTAGAGTTCCTGCAGACGCAGCCTACGGGAGTCAGGAGTTGCGCGTTCATCCCAGTAGCTCCGGCTTTCCTGCACTTCAAGTCTGCTCCTCACGCGACTAAATTCGGGGAATAGCGGCCGCGGCGCTCTACCTCCTCATTTCCTGGAAAGCAGGACAGGAGGAGGCAAAAGCGGGGGTATGTGCACCGAGGCGCTTGCACCGTCGGCGAAGCCGCCGTACCGGTGGCTTTCTTGCACGGCATTTGGAGTCTGCTCCTCACGTGATCGGATATCGGCAAATAGCGGCGCGGCGGCACGTGGAAACCAGACGCGCAACTCTGGCTGGAGCATATAATCTCGATGCTGCACTAGAGTACCAGTTCCTGTATAGGCTCCCTACGGGAGCCAGAGTTGCGCGTCTATTTTCTACGTGCCGCTGCGCCGCTATTTGCCGAGATCCGACTACGTACCCTGCAAGAAAGTAACGTTGCACGCGCCCCGCCGTACGCACCCCTGCTTTTGAGCGCGCCGCGCGCCTCGTCGGTTCGAGAGTCAATGGTTCCAGTACCCTCTCCCTCCTCGTAGTGGCCGAGCAGGGAGGGAATATGGTTTCGTTGTGTCGACCTCGGGGCGGAAGATTACGCACGATGGGGACAAAGGCGAGTTTGGGGGAGCAGTATCTAGGTCACAGCGCCTCAATGGTTGAACAGGATGTAGCTGACGTTTTGGGTGTGGAACGGGCGGAAGAGGCCTTGCGCGCGCGTTGTTTTCTCGACACTTGGCCTCGTGTCGAGGTGACAGCACATATTCGCCAAGAGGTCCAAAATTCGCGTGAGGAGCTGGATCAACATGCCGTACAGGAAAGACGGCGCTACGAAGATGAACGCGCAACTCTGACTCCCGTAGGGAACCTATAGAAGCACTCTAACCGCCTTATCCCGAAGCGCCACCTTAGTTCCATCATCCCCACTGAAAATCGCATTGCATAACCATACGTGCGAGCGAAGCCGGTAACAAGCGCGAGCATGTTGCTCTGCAATCGAACTACGCTTCACCGACAGATCGTTTTATAGATACGCGATGATTCATCGCCAGAATGCCTCATCGACAGCACAAACTACCTTTTTTCTGTAAGGAGCTGCCTCACACTGTTGCCACGAAGCGGATAGTACGGGTAGGATACACCCGCGACGAAATGTCCCTACAACGCGAAATCCGCGTAACAACTGTCGATGGAACGGTAGTGTCGACGAACGAGAGTCCATGAAACATCTGTCCACAAAAAGTGTTTTTTGGCGAAACGATAGAGACCCGTTGCTCTGAATGACGCCAGCTCTACACGCAAGAATAATGTCTCGAAGCTGCGATGTCGTGCTCGTTTGTAAACTCAGAGAACCGGGCACCGCCACCGCGCACACATGCCACAAATACAAAAGCGAACAAACTCTGACATAGACAGGAGAAAAGGAAAGCACGTCCCCAGCTAGCAGGCCCCATGCCTCGCCAAACGCAGCATCCAACAAGTGCATGTAAACGGCAGACTTACCTTTATCGGGCGGGCACATCTTGGTTTGTGACTGCAGTGCAACTACGTGTCAAGCATCGCTTCGTGAACACGATCCGCTTTGTCCAACCACCTTCTAAAAAAACACGCAATTCAAGATAGCGCGAATGAACAAAGGCGATGTCACCCGCCAGCCGAAGCAAAAGTATGGCCGCCGAAGCACGCCGAGATGGAATGCAGGAGGTGACTCAGGTGAGGAGGTCAAGTCTCCTGGCATCACGAAGGCCAGATAACGCGCGAAACGCGATCGCTATCGCGATAGGTTGTCAGTCGGATGACGTGTGCCCAGTGACTGCTAATCAGGACGCGCGCTCTACTCTATTACCGCGCGCATTTTGTTTGTTTTCTTGCGCTCTCCTGATAGCACTCCCTCTCCCCTTTTTGAAAAAGGAAAGGGGGGCGGTGTAATGTGCACCTGGCAACACCCTCGCCACGCCCGCCGATTCCTTTGGGAGAGGAGGACTCGCGTGATGGGAGTGCGATTACGCTCGGCGGGTGTCTCCAGTCGAAGGGGGGTGTAAGGGTGCGCGATACACCCACATACACCCTTTTTTCTGAGAGTGCGACGGCTGCCAGGTGACAGCCGAACTATCGGGAAGCGAAGCCTAACTGTGTCACTTGTTTGGCGACTTTGGCTCGGCGGCTGCCAGATGACAGCCGAACTATCGGGAAGCGGAGCCTAACTGTGTCACTTGTTTGGCGACTTTGGCCCGGCGGCTGCAAGATGACAGCCGAACTATCGGGAAGCGAAGCCTAACTGTGTCACTTGTTTGGCGACTTTGGCCCGGCGGCTGCCAGATGACAGCCGAACTATCGGGAAGCAAAGCCTAACTGTGTCACTTGTTTGGCGACTTTGGCCCGGCGGCTGCCAGATGACAGCCGAACTATCGGGAAGCGAAGCCTGACTGTGTCACTTGTTTGGCGACTTTGGCCAGGCGGCTGCCAGATGACAGCCGAACTATCGGGAAGCGAAGATTAACTGTGTCACTTGTTTGGCGACTTTGGCCCGGCGGCTGCCAGATGACAGCCGAACTATCGGGAAGCGAAGCCTAACTGTGTCACTTGTTTGGCGACTTTGGCTCGGCGGCTGCCAGATGACAGCCGAACTATCGGGAAGCGAAGCCTAACTGTGTCACTTGTTTGGCGACTTTGGCCAGGCGGCTGCCAGATGACAGCCGAACTATCGGGAAGCGAAGATTAACTGTGTCACTTGTTTGGCGACTTTGGCCAGGCGGCTGCCAGATGACAGCCGAACTATCGGGAAGCGAAGCCTAACTGTGTCACTTGTTTGGCGACTTTGGCCCGGCGGCTGCCAGATGACAGCCGAACTATCGGGAAGCGAAGCCTAACTGTGTCACTTGTTTGGCGACTTTGGCTCGGCGGCTGCCAGATGACAGCCGAACTATCGGGAAGCGAAGCCTAACTGTGTCACTTGTTTGGCGACTTTGGCCCGGCGGCTGCCAGATGACAGCCGAACTATCGGGAAGCGAAGATTAACTGTGTCACTTGTTTGGCGACTTTGGCCAGGCGGCTGCCAGATGACAGCCGAACTATCGGGAAGCGAAGCCTAACTGTGTCACTTGTTTGGCGACTTTGGCCCGGCGGCTGCCAGATGACAGCCGAACTATCGGGAAGCGAAGCCTAACTGTGTCACTTGTTTGGCGACTTTGGCTCGGCGGCTGCCAGATGACAGCCGAACTATCGGGAAGCGAAGCCTAACTGTGTCACTTGTTTGGCGACTTTGGCCCGGCGGCAGCCAGATGACAGCCGAACTGTCGGGAAGCGAAGCCTAACTGTGTCACTTGTTTGGCGACTTTGGCCCGGCGGCTGCCAGATGACAGCCGAACTATCGGGAAGCGAAGCCTAACTGTGTCACTTGTTTGGCGACTTTGGCCAGGCAGCTGCCAGATGACAGCCGAACTATCGGGAAGCGAAGCCTAACTGTGTCACTTGTTTGGCGACTTTGGCTCGGCGGCTGCCAGATGACAGCTGAACTATCGGGAAGCGAAGCCTAACTGTGTCACTTGTTTGGCGACTTTGGCCCGGCGGCTGCCAGATGACAGCCGAACTATCGGGAAGCGAAGCCTAACTGTGTCACTTGTTTGGCGACTTTGACCCGGCGGCTGCCAGATGACAGCCGAACTATCGGGAAGCGAAGCCTAACTTTGACACTTGTTTGGCGACTTTGGCCCGGCGGCTGCCAGATGACAGCCGAACTATCGGGAAGCGAAGCCTAACTTTGGCACTTGTTTGGCGACTTTGGCCCTGCGGCTGCCAAATGACAGCCGAACTATCGGGAAGCGAAGCCTAACTTTGACACTTGTTTGGCGACTTTGGCCCGGCGGCTGCCAGATGACAGCCGAACTATCGGGAAGCGAAGCCTAACTGTGTCACTTGTTTGGCGACTTTGGCTCGGCGGCTGCCAGATGACAGCCGAACTATCGGGAAGCGAAGCCTAACTGTGTCACTTGTTTGGCGACTTTGGCCCGGCGGCTGCCAGATGACAGCCGAACTATCGAAAAGCGAAGCCTAACTGTGTCACTTGTTTGGCGACTTTGGCCCGGCGGCTGCCAGATGACAGCCGAACTATCGGGAAGCGAAGCCTAACTGTGTCACTTGTTTGGCGACTTTGGCCCGGCGGCTGCCAGATGAAAGCCGAACTATCAGGAAGCGAAGCCTAACTGTGTCACTTGTTTGGCGACTTTGGCTCGGCGGCTGCCAGATGACAGCCGAACTATCGGGAAGCGAAGCCTAACTTTGGCACTAGTTTGGCGACTTTGGCCCGGCGGCTGCCAGATGACAGCCGAACTATCGGGAAGCGAAGCCTAGCTTTGGCACTTGTTTGGCGACTTTGGCCCTGCGGCTGCCAAATGACAGCCGAACTATCGGGAAGCGAAGCCTAACTTTGACACTTGTTTGGCGACTTTGGCCCGGCGGCTGCCAGATGACAGCCGAACTATCGGGAAGCGAAGCCTAACTTTGGCACTTGTTTGGCGACTTTGGCCCGGCGGCTGCCAGATGACAGCCGAACTATCGGGAAGCGAAGCCTAGCTTTGGCACTTGTTTGGCGACTTTGGCCCGGCGGCTGCCAGATGACAGCCGAACTATCGGGAAGTGAAGCCTAACTTTGGCACTTGTTTGGCGACTTTGGCCTGTAGCTGCCAGATGACAGCCGAACTATCGGGAAGCGAAGCCTAACTTTGGCACGTGTTTGGCGACTTTGGCCCGGCGGCTGCCAGATGACAGCCGAACTATCGGGAAGCGAAGCCTAGCTTTGGCACTTGTTTGGCGACTTTGGCCCTGCGGCTGCCAAATGACAGCCGAACTATCGGGAAGCGAAGCCTAACTGTGTCACTTGTTTGGCGACTTTGGCCCGGCGGCTGCCAGATGACAGCCGAACAATCGGGAAGCGAAGCCTAACTGTGTCACTTGTTTGGCGACTTTGACCCGGCGGCTGCCAGATGACAGCCGAACTATCGGGAAGCGAAGCCTAACTGTTTCACTTGTTTGGCGACTTTGGCCCGGCGGCTGCCAGATGACAGCCGAACTATCGGGAAGCGAAGCCTAACTGTGTCACTTGTTTGGCGACTTTGGCCCGGCGGCTGCCAGATGACAGCCGAACTATCGGGAAGCGAAGCCTAACTGTGTCACTTGTTTGGCGACTTTGGCCCGGCGGCTGCCAGATGACAGCCGAACTATCGGGAAGCGAAGCCTAACTGTGTCACTTGTTTGGCGACTTTGGCCCGGCGGCTGCCAGATGACAGCCGAACTATCGGGAAGCGAATCCTAACTGTGTCACTTGTTTGGCGACTTTGGCCCGGCGGCTGCCAGATGACAGCCGAACTATCGGGAAGCGAAGCCTAACTGTGTCACTTGTTTGGCGACTTTGGCCCGGCAGCTGCCAGATGACAGCCGAACTATCGGGAAGCGAAGCCTAACTGTGTCACTTGTTTGGCGACTTTGGCCCGGCGGCTGCCAGATGACAGCCGAACTATCGGGAAGCGAAGCCGAACTGTGTCACTTGTTTGGCGACTTTGGCCCGGCGGCGGCCAGATGACAGCCGAACTATCGGGAAGCGAAGCCGAACTGTGTCACTTGTTTGGCGACTTTGGCCCGGCGGCTGCCAGATGACAGCCGAACTATCGGGAAGCGAAGCCTAACTGTGTCACTTGTTTGGCGACTTTGGCCCGGCGGCTGCCAGATGACAGCCGAACTATCGGGAAGCGAAGCCTAACTGTGTCACTTGTTTGGCGACTTTGGCCCGGCGGCTGCCAGATGACAGCCGAACTATCGGGAAGCGAAGCCTAACTGTGTCACTTGTTTGGCGACTTTGGCCCGGCGGCTGCCAGATGACAGCCGAACTATCGGGAAGCGAAGCCTAACTGTGTCACTTGTTTGGCGACTTTGGCCCGGCGGCTGCGAGATGACAGCCGAACTATCGGGAAGCGAAGCCTGTGTCACTTGTTTGGCGAATTTGGCCCGGCGGCTGCCAGATGACAGCCGAACTATCGGGAAGCGAAGCCTAACTGTGTCACTTGTTTGGCGACTTTGGCCCGGCAGCTGCCAGATGACAGCCGAACTATCGGGAAGCGAAGCCTAACTGTGTCACTTGTTTGGTGACTTTGGCTCGCCGGCTGCCAGATGACAGCCGAACTATCGGGAAGCGAAGCCTAACTGTGTCACTTGTTTGGCGGCTTTGGCCCGGCGGCTGCCAGATGACAGCCGAACTATCGGGAAGCGAAGCCTAACTGTGTCTCTTGTTTGGCGACTTTGGCCCGGCGGCTGCCAGATGACAGCCGAACTATCGGGAAGCGAAGCCTAACTGTGTCACTTGTTTGGCGACTTTGGCCCGGCGGCTGCCAGATGAGAGCCGAACTATCGGGAAGCGAAGCCTAACTGTGTCACTTGTTTGGCGACTTTGGCCCGGCGGCTGCCAGATGACAGCCGAACTATCGGGAAGCGAAGCCTAACTGTGTCACTTGTTTGGCGACTTTGGCTCGGCGGCTGCCAGATGACAGCCGAACTATCTGGAAGCAAAGTCTAACTGTGTCACTTGTTTGGCGACTTTGGCCCGGCGGCTGCCAGATGA